TATATATATATATATATATATATATATATATATATATATATATATATATAATCACGAGTCATTGTTCTGGCCAGTACACTGCGCTTTTATAATTGAATAACTCATTCGTATCATGTGGGAGTATGTCGCGCATACATATGTACACAAACACGCACGGTACACGCATTTATCTGCAGCTTTGTACAAATATTACGAATATAGGCAAAGACACTATCTGTATATGCGTATGAATGCACAAATGTACATTTAAATGTACGTTTGCAACATATATATATTAATAATGTGGTATCAATCAGCTGGCAGCTCCGGATGAAGTGGTATTCAGTGTCAGCTTCTCCTTCACTATCACTCTTTCATGAACTTTCGTACTAACACCCTAACCATAAGCTTCCAATTTCTGTTTATTACTTGAGATACCTTCTCAATTTTAAAGGCGGATGCCTGCTTCTATTGCCTTTCCGTCTTGCCACCGTCGAACCCTAGATCGAAGAAAGGGGCGGCAGTGCTCGTTTTTGCATTTCTTTTTTTGATTCAGTTGATTCTGAAGTGCTTACCTGGAGGAGATGCCACTGGAAATATTTCAGATACATTTGAAAGGCGTGGCGGGTCCCAGGCCAGGCGCACTGCAGCTTCGGCTGCTTGGAGCGCTGTAAAGGCACAGAGTAGGAAGGTGGCTCTGACAACCGGCTATTCTTTCTTTTGAATCATCTTTCTGTTTAAAAATACTCTATTCAAAATGCTTGGGCGTCTATCATTGCCTCATTTCGCCTCACCGAGAAGAGGAGCGGCGGCTGGAGCGATCGCAGCGGCGGAAACGCGTGCGGTCGCCGGCCGAAGGTTGCCGGAGGAAGCCGACATCCGATTGGAGAGCAAATGTCTGTTTCAAGAACAAGTGCAATAGAGTGAATAAAAGTCTGGAAAATTAGCGAAGATCGTGCGAATTCCCCAATAGAAGATGGCGGATCCTCCGGTGGGTCGTGGCGAGATGCTCTTTTGAACGCGGCTCACAACAACCTTCTACTGTCTTCTTTATTCTCCCTTCAGGAACAGTTTATCGAGGATGTCGTTTATAAATACATAAGTAC